CTTATTTTTTCCTCTCGACATGGACGTCCTGACGTCCACGGCGATAGTCCATTGCAAAAAATACCACAAAGAGCACACGCGCGCGTTCATGTCAGAATCCTACCGAACACCGTGTGTTTGCAAGCATTTCAACATAAAAACATCAAAAACCCAATGTTTTTTTTCACAAAATTTGTACAAATTTCCCGCCCGGGCTCTCTTGCTGAAATCATAGGAAAACCATAGGAATCTTAAGAATTCTGTCAAATCCAGCGATTTCACGTCATCGCGCGGTGCACTCGCGATGCTCTGTCATGCACCCAGGCCGCGAATCCTGTGCAAAAAATACAACAAAGAGCACACTCGCGCGTTCATGTCAGAATCCTACCGAACACCGTGTGGTTGCAAGCATTTCAACATAAAAACATCAAAAACCCAATGCTTTTTCACAAAAATGCTTTGGGGTGTCCTGTCAGACCGTCGGGCTTCCTCCGGCCACCTCTGGCTTCCTGCGGTGTACCGGGCCATTCTCGACTCGTCTGGCAATGCGTGCGCGGCATTCAACACGCGCTCGCCAGTTCCCGTCGGCAACCGCCATCGCGGCCGCATCAGCTGTACCAAACCGGCTGGCCGGTGTGACTTCGGCCCCCAGTTGTGCCAGCTTTGCTTCTTATGTTGTGGGAGGGCGGGTGGGACTGGGCATGCCATGCTTGACTCGCTCGAGCTGGCTAGCTTGACTCCTACTCTTACTCCTCCTCATCCTCCTCCTCATCATCATCAGCATCATCATCATCATCACCACCACCACCACCACCACCACCACCATCATCATCATCAGCATCATCCTTCTCCTCCTCCTCCTCCTTCTCCTCCTCCGCCTCCTCCTCCTCCTCCTCATCCTCCTCCCCCTCCTCCTCCTACTCCTCCTCTTTCTCTGCCTCCTCCTCCTCCTCGGAGGAGGAGGAGAGGAGGTTGAGGTCGAGGTGCAGGTTCGGGCGGGACGGACATGTGGATGGGACTGAGCAATGAGGGCGACGAAAGCTAAGGGCGACGACCTCTTTACGCATCCGCTGCTCCCTGGCCAGGCCCATGCGGAACCCAGCAGCGGCGCATGCGCCGCGCCCTCCCGGCTCGGCCGGGAGCGTATGCACAGCTCCTGGGTTCAGGGTGGGCGCCCGATGGAATGCATAGAAGAAGTAGGGGGAAAACAAACCTACCTCGCTTTTGACCACCCTCGCTTCCAAGAGATACCAAACGACGCCAAATTGCAGCCTGGACTGGTCAGGCCGCTTGACGAGGAGGCGCGTGGTATGACTCGGTTTTGCCTGGAAGCGAAAGCGGGGTAGGTAATTCACGCTCTGACACATAGAGGAAGGAAAAACGGCACAAACATAAACTTTTGGCGCTCCGTTCTGGCCAGCAAGAAGGGCGGGTGGGTTGGAGGCGCTGAGTTCGGGAAGGCAGTCTGTCTTTTTCGGACTCTCCAGGGGCCGTTGCCGGGCCCGGGGACCGTCAAACACGAGTCCAGGGTGGAAAAACTACACCAGATGGACCCTGGCAAGGGTCTGGGGACGGAGTTTGAGTCCTTCTCCCCCCTCTTTTTTTCTTCCTCGGAGGTCTTCCGGATTCCTTGACGTGCCGCTGGCAAACAGATGGACGCAATGCACGAAGCAACGCGCCAAAGACGCGAAATTGCAATGCAGGATGGAGTGCTGGGGGAGTTCGAGGAATTCTATCATGCCGAATGTCGGTGGTGACATGATCTTCCCAGCGTTACCCCATCCAGTGGTCAACTAGCGCTCAAAGTCACAAGCGTGCTAAGTGGCTGGCAGCCTGAAGGCACGCAGCGACTCGTCTTGCAGCGGCTAGTCGACGGAGAAAAAAAAAAAAACATGGCTGGCGGCACTGAGTTAAGAGAAATAGCCCACACGCGGTAGCTGCAGTAGCTCTGCAGGGAGTAACCAGGCAACTGCGATGGTGCAGCATGGTGCAGAAGCAAATGGAAAACTGGGATACGGAGGGGGTGAGCGAGAGAACGGCCGTCTCCTGCGCCTTTGAAGAGCAGGCCTGCTATAAGCCCGTCGACTCACCCATCGCACTCCGAAGCATTATCTTCGCGCGGGAAGAAAATTAGCTACCCAGATTCACTCTGAGTCGTCCCCGTTCAGATCGGCGCCTTTACCTTCTTTCTTGCTCCACATTTTCGAGGCGACCGCGCCGACGGCGGCGCCCAAGCACAATCCGACGACCAGGAATCCGAGCGACAGAGCCGAGACCGGCGACCCCGCCTGCGTTCTCGGGGATGCGAGGAACGACGTGACGCCGCTATTGGCCTCGTGGATGCAGATGATGGTGCTGACCTTGCGCGCGCACTCGAAGGCACTGAGATTGCCCTTTCCCTCGCCGATGGGGCAACCTGGCTCGTAAGTCCCGGCTAACACCCCGTAAGTGGCGCGATCTGAGCTGTAGCCAATCTGCACGCCGTTCTTCCACATCTGGGTGCTGCCGCCGCCGTCTAGATTGATCGCCTCGACGGCACCGAAGCTGATCATCTTGTCGGCCAACTCATTCATTGTCGCGCCCCAAGACGGGGCGCCCGTGTGACCATCATACTGGAGGAGGATGAGCCCACCATTCTTGTCCCAACCGATAGTGGTTCGCCCGGAGGTCATTTCTTTATACTCGTCCCCGCTCGAGCCCGCAGCGGTATAGGCCTCCTCCCACCCGGCATCCACGTTGTTTAATCCGTTACGCACGATCCAGCCCAGTCCACCCACCAAGTGCTCGAAAATCCCAGTCTCTACGGTCTCTGGCGAAATGTAACCAATGACGAAGCTACCGTTCTTGAGGACTCCGAAATTCACGTTGGTGGTATTCATGGGCTCAGTGTAATGGATCTCGCCATCACTTACAACGTTGCCAATACATTGGAACGTGTCGATCAAATTATAGTAACCAGCGTCCGTGGCCAAGATGCAGCTGGGATTGTACAACGCCGCCGTGTCCGGCACGTAGGCAATCGTCCCGCATCCGCCTGGAAGCGGGGGCACCACCGCCACGCGGCCGAGGGGGTTGGAGACCTTGACCAGATGCCCGTTCACGTGCGCATGGGAATCGTGGGTCTTCGAAGTGGACGATGTGAATGCTGTTTGCCAAACGGTCATGTCGATCTCCGAGCCGCCCGAAGCCATGGGCGCCGTGACCATGACTGTTTCCGTCGGAGGGCCTGCCCGGGCACGCCAGGCGCAGGCGACCGCAAAGGCCACGGCCCGCATGCTGTCTGCTGGCCCCATGCAGGGGGCTCGGGGCCAGCGCTGGGCAACAGCGCTTCGCAAGAGAGGGGCCAGAGCCAGACTGGCTTGAGCCAAATATCGCTACGGAGCCCTTCTCCCCGCCCTCTTGCCCGAACTTCTCGGTGCCCATGCGGTTCAGACACCCTGGCCGCCTCAAGGGAGAGAAGAATCAGAGAGCGAGCCCTGCCAAGGATCTGTAGGATAGAGGCGACAGATGGTTCTCCTCTCGCAAACAGAAGCTACTCGCACGTCAACACCTGGACCGAAAGGTCAGCGGATGAGGAGAGGAGGTGGATAAGAGAGGGCACATATACACACAGGGAGGGTGGGGGGGGGGGCAAGGCGGGGCTATCGGGCCCCTATCGACGATAAATGGGCGATCAGGACCGATGCACACACACACACACACACACACACACACTCCCTCACACACACACACACACACACACACACACACACACACGAGAGCCAATCTCCGCCGAACGCTGCCCCTGAATCGGCCCATGCAGCTGGTTTCCCTGACGCTTCCTGGAGCCATAGGCGGCCCTGTATCGGAGAAAGTGTCCCGCGCAGCCAAATGCAGCAGACTTCGTACCCCCCCTTTGCCAAATCTCCTCCCATTTCGTATGTGGATATGTGTATATAGATGTGTATATATATATATATACACACACCAACTAGAACCACGCGCCTTAGGTTCTGGCAAGCTCTAGTTGTAGTCTGAAGTGTGCGGTGTTGGAAGACATATATTGTCGCAGAGCTCGTGCCCTCAGGGAGCTCCGCCTGTGGCCCCAAAGACAGGCTTGGCTAGCGCTCCTCCGTCCTTCTCGGCACACCTCTCACAGGGAGCGCGCCCCATACGGAGCTACACCTACGTCCCCAGAGGCAAGGCTCGCATAGTAGCACGCCCCTCACGCGGATCGTGCCTCGCAAATTTGCCGGCACAACGGGCCAGAGGCGTGCTAAGGTCTCCGGCAACAGGTTAACAGTATGCCCCTGGGGACCCCTGGACACTGGCTTCAGCGCCCCCCCCTGGTCACCACGACGCCGTTCGTCGCGAAGGAGCGCGCCCTGGCCGAGCGGCCGCCGGGGCGCCGGAAGCGAGAGCGCTCCTGCACGCGCCCGATTTCCTCAACAGCGCTCTGTTCGAACAGCGAGGCGCTCACGGCGCGGCCGTGCTCCGACGCGTCGGAGAGGTAGATCAGCGGGCAACGCGACAGCGCCCAGTCTCCGAGCAGCAGCGGCATCATGCCCCTGAAGACCACGAGCTCCGCGCGGGCGGTGGGCCACAGAGGATCGCCCTGCCGGTAATTCGCCGCGATGAACTTGCACGTCGCGTTGAACGTCGGCAGGAGGTCGCGGTTGCACATGGTGCAGTAGGTTAATGGCCGAGGGCGACCTCCCACACCCATCCAGGCAGCGCTCTGCAGCCCAGCGCCCAGCTGAGTCCCTGGCGAACCTGCCTGTAGCGCTTGGCGGCGAGCCCGGTGGCAAGGGCGTCGCCGTCCAGCACGCGCCCCAGCGTCTCGCCGCGGCCCGACTGGATCTCCGTCTCGCGCGCGCAAAAACCAGCAGAATCGAAGCGCTCCGCGGCGGCGGACAGGCAGAAGGCAACCGCTTCGCGTCCGAAGCCCAACGCGCCCAGGTTGTCCACGTAAGTGCACTGGGCGCCGCGGCTGGCCACAGCGCGGTCGCGGGCCCTCGGTCGCTCACGCGGTGCAGCTGGCTGAGCTCTGGGGTCGAGCAAATCGCGGCCCCACCGAGCTCCCGGCAGAAATAAAACGACCAGGCGAAGCCCATCGGAAGCGCGGCGCAAACTGGCACCGGGCGGCGATCGGGCGCCACGAGGTGGCCGTCAAGGGTCGAGCCCCCAAGGCCGACCTCGCTCGCCAGGACGCTCCGCAGGCAGGCGAAGCCAGAGAGAGCTCCCCGCCGATCCGAAATGGGCGGAAAGCGTCGCCGATGTCGGAGGTCCCCAGCGCGAGCCCCACGTCGGGAGGCAAGCCCGCCGCGGCCTCTGGGATTTCGACCTCGATGCGGGCCAGGCCCCCGGCGGCCACCAGCGACGCCCCAGGCGGGAGTGTGAAGTGGAGGTAGCTCTTCCTGGCTTCTATGGTGAGACGCAGCCGGCTGCTCTCCTTGGCAGCGAAGAAGAGGCCCATCTCCTCGAGGCGCTCGGTCTCGTCCGAGTACAATATCATGCCCCTCGAGTAGAGCAGCTTCACGAGGCGCGCGCGCAGTCTGCGGTTGCGCGCCAGAGTGGGGCCCCGATGCGAGATGGCGCCACAACTATCAACTCGAGAACGGAGCGCTTCCTCATCAAGAAGCATCCGAGACAACCCGTCAAGTAAATTGCGCGCGCTGGCAAGTGCGATCTCCGACGGCCGTGGCCCTCCCCCCGCGGATCTGCCCCGCGTCGCGAAGACGTCCGACATTCCGCCCGGCCGACTCGTCGCGGACACTGCGGCCGCGCAGCAGCTCCGCGAAGGCTGCTCGCGGCGAGGGGGTCGCGGTCTCCAAGGGCGGCATGCTCTCGACCGCGCAGTCAAGGATCCACGCGCGCACCCTCATCTGATCAAAATTCGGCAACGTGCCCGCGGCTTCTCGGTTGGCCAATCAAGGCGCCCGCGACCTCGTTGAAATCGCGGCGGGCCCGCCCGGCGAGCCGCGCAGCCCCGCGGCCCTGGAACTGCGCTCCGCTGAAACCTGGATCGCTCAGCCTCGGCGGGGGAAACAGCGACAGCAGGTCCACCCCGACTTCTCGATCGGGCTGAGCGCTACCGGCGGGACGCCCACCCCCGCCGGCGGAAGGAGTCATCATCCCTCGGGCGCGGTGGGCTTGCCACCGCGCCCGCCGCCGCCGCGCCCTACCGCTCCTGCCGCGTCGCCTCGCCCGCCGCCGCGCGCTTCTCCGCCTCGCCCGCCGCGGCGCCCGCGGCCGCGGCCGTCGGCCCCGCCAGCGCCGCCGCCAGTAGGCAGGCCCTCGCCCGCCTCCAGCGCCAGAGGGCTCGGCGGGGACACCCCTCTGCGCGGCTCTTCCAGCTCTCCAGCTCCATCTCCTCACTGCTCCTGCGGAAGACTGCCGCCCGCTGGGCTGGAACGATCACGCCAATTTGGCCTGCCACTCCCATGTAGTGCCGCAGCCCGCCCCCCTTCCGAGGCGTGGTGGGGTCTCCCGAATGGGCCTCCACGATCTGCGACACCCTGCGGCAAAGCACTTCCACGCTGGCCATGCTGGTCAAGTTGAGCTGGTCGTAGCTTCCCGCGTAGTAGATCGAAGTCAGCAAACAACTCGCCTCGAAGCTTGTCCGGTCGCGGGCACAGAGATCCAGTCACAGCGAGGGAGAGCCCCCACTCTGCTCCCACTTCTTGATCACGCGCTTCACTGTCGAGAGGCCATCCTCGATGGGGCCAGTCTTTGAACGAGTAGCGCTGGACATCGCGGGCGACGCCCTATCCAAGGCTTGCGGCGCTCGCCGTGCTCGTCATGCTGCACCCAGAGGGCGCGCGCCCTCGCCTGCACCAGGCCCAGGGCGGCCCTCAGGCGGTGGCACCCCAAGCCGATCGCGAAGATCCTTCTCGCCAGCGGCCTCCTGGTCGGGATCCTCAACGGCAGACCGAGGCGCGCCTGCCTCAGCCCCAGCTCCAGCGGCCGCACGGCGGCCTCCGCCCAGGTCGCCCTCCAGGATCTCGATCAGCTCCAACGGTCGCCGCTCCCTGAACGAGTCCACCCGATCGACGCGCACGGCCTCGGCAGTCTGCCAGCTGGCCCCCTCGCGCAGCATCGCGCGGGGCGCGTCGAGCCGCGCGCCGCCCACCGGCCAGCGGCCCAGCCGAGGCCACGATCCAGGCGCAGCCCTCGGGCGGCCCCAAGTCCGCGGCCGCGCCCGCGTCCACCGGCGGGGCGGCCGCAGGCGGCGTCGCCGTGCCACCGACTTCGCTGGGGACGCCTCGCAGCTGCAGGCGGCGGCGGAGGTCCGAGAAGGGGTGCAGCTCCCCGTCCCAGCTGTAGAACTGCGCCGGGTCGGCCGCGCCCCCCTCCGCCGCTTGCTCCAGCTGTGAGCTCTGAGCCTTCAGCACCAGGGCGCGGAAGCGCGGCGGCGGCACGGGCTCTGCAAACCTGTAGAAGGCTCCGCGAGCGACTCCAGGGGCCACCCCGTCGGGGCTGCACGCGAAGGCCCTGCTGCAGCCGTCGCCGACCACCCCCGTGACGTCCTCCACATAGGTGTCCATGTCGGGGGTCTGGATCCACCAATACGTTCCTCCCGCGGGATACAACAACGCCTTTCAAGCCATACCTTGCCCCGCGGGCACCACAGCCCAAGACGCAATCCGGGCGGAGCTCAGCGGACCATTCCGCCACCTCGGCGACGGATCCGTTCGGCCAGAGCGCGGTCGCCCCGCGCCTCCGCCGCCGCGGCAGAGCCAGCATGGCGCCGGGCTCGGGCGACGACGCAGCAGCCAATCAGCAAGACGAGCTCGCCCGTCGCAAAGTTCCAGACCAAAGCGATGACCGAGGTCCGCTCCGCCCAGAAGGCTGGGCCAGCCACGGGCGGCACCGCCGTCGGCGGGGGCCCCGCGGGCCAGGCTGCGAGCGGCAGCCTGTCCCTCAGCTCCACGGCCACCGCCTCCGCCGAGGGGCAGACCGCAGCCGCGGGCGAGGAGTTGGCCAGCCACGGCCGCAGCTCCTGCGCGACCGCCGCCGCCTCTGCCGCCGCCCAAAGTCCCGGCGGGGGCGGCGGCGAGGGTGGCCACGCGGGCGCGTGGCAGACGCAAGCTGGGCAGGTGGTCGAGGCCGCGACTACCGCCGCCAGCCAACCACCCGCCAGCCGAACCCCCGCCCAGGCCGCAGGTGCGCCCACCGCGGCGCTCACCGCCAGCGCGGCGGTGGCGCCCGGGGCCATGGCTTGGCCCAAGCTCATGCACTTGAGCGGGAAACGAGACGGATCAGACAAGACAACACCGCGCAAGCACTCCCATGAATTTCCCTATGGTTTTTCGAAGTTGCTGGCCTGCTCGCCTTGTCGGCTTTCCAACGCTCCAAGACGGCCCAAAAAGTTCCCAAGACCGCCCCAAGACGGCCCAAGAAGCCTCCAAAAGGGCCCCAAGACGGCCCAAGATGGCCCCAAGACAGTCGAAGAAGCGCCCAAGATAGCCCAAGAGGGCCCAAAAACGGCCCAAGAAGGGCCCAAGACGGGGACCAGGAACCAAAAAGTCCAGCCTTCAGCCCCAAGAGGCCCCGAGGAGGCCCCAAGAGGCCCCCAAGAGGCCCCAAGGGGCCCCCAAGAGGCATTCCAAGAAGCCCCAAGAGACCCCCAAAAGGCTCCAAGAGGCCCCAACACGGCCCCCAAGAGGCCTCAAAACTGCCTCCCAAAGGCCCCCAGGAATGAACAAAGCGATGAAATAACTGCATTTGCGGCATCGGCGTGTGAGATCCACAGCATGGTCTTCAAGAATGCTTTGCGTAAATCTTCCCTCTAACGCGCTTTTCATACCTATCCATGCCTATGAGCCCCCGCCTATACTCCAGCCCGCGCCTCGCTCATTCCGCTGGCCCGGGGGCCGCGGCTGCGGCCGGGGCGCCTTCTGGCCGCCTTTTCCGTCCCAAGACGACCCCCCTTTCACGTGCTAGACTTCCAGGCGCCGCCAGGCGCTCTTAGAGACCTCTCCAGGGGCCCACTGGGCTGGCTTTTCGGGCCTCCTGAGGCTCTCCTGGGCGCATTTTTCCCCTCCTTCAGGCCAGTTTGAGCCGTTTCAAATGCTTGTCCAGTTCTTGTCGAACCACATACACCAGAACACCCCAACAAGCCAAAAAAACATCGTAAAACACATAGGTGATGATTTTGGCCTTCTCGCACTTCTCATTGCGCCTCTCTCGGATCTCACGTGCATCTCCGCTGGCTCTTGCGGCCATATTAGAACCCAGGCATGCTCTCTACGACTGTCCTGACAGCCTCTCGGACCCATCTTGGGCCGTCTGGCCGCCCTTTGGGCGCCTTATTGGGCCGTCTTAGGCACGCCCAGGGGGTCCCCAGAGACGCTTCTGAGGCCTCAAAACGAAGTGGGACTGCTCCTTTCTGCCTCTCTGTATCCCTCTTCGGTTTCGTCCGCTGTTTTCGACACCTTTGGGTGCCCTGTTGGGCCGCTTTCGGGGCCTCTTGGGCCCCTCTGAGGGGCCTTTCTTGGGACCGTTTCCACGTATTGTTGGACCCTCTCGGGCCGTCTTGGACACCTCCCACAAACTCCGCGTTCCAAAAATGGTGGGGCGGCGGTGTCTGCCCGCTCAGGGGCGTTCAATCAAATAACTGCAGTTGCGGCATCAGAGTGAAGCTTCATAGCGTCGCCCCGCTCACTTCAGTACACTTCTCATACGGATCGTGACCCGCAAGGGGTTCCACGGACGGCCCTGGACACAAAGTTCGCATCCAGCCCTCTCGTCTACTTCGGCACACCACGCACACGGATCGTGGCCCAGAGGGATCTCCACCTACGGCCGCAAAGGCAAGGTTCGCATTGCGCCCCTCGTCTCACGCGGATCGTGCCCACAAGGAGCGCCACCTAAAGGCCCAGAGACAAGGTTCGTTCAGCGCTCCCCCGCCCATGACGGCAGACTCGTCACGCGAACCATGCCCCAGAGGGAGCTCCACTTATGGCACCAATGGGCAGCTTCGCATGGCGTACCGCTGGTCACTTCGGAACATGCCTCGCACGGGTCGTGCCTGGAGGAGGTCCACCTGTGACCTCAGAGGGGGCATTCGCGCGAGTGTATCCGAATTACTCGGCACACCCTTCACGCGGATCGTTCCCTACAAAATATTAAAGAATTCAGCACACCCGGGCACGCGTGCTCCGCAGCAGCCATATTGCCGCATTGCCCCGCGGCGCTTATCCATGGCCTTCGTTCCATACCACCACTGTACCTGAGTTCTGGGCCAGAGGA